ATGCCTTTCTGCTGATCTTTCTGGCCCCGCTACTAGAACTCTGCTCTATACAGTGCTACTGATTATACTGCGGCAACTTAGACCTGACAAGCTAGCCTGGGGGCGAGCCCATGCATCTGGTATTGTTATTATACCCGGGTTTCTACAGCCTGGGCCTTGCGTATACAGGTCTGCTAATAGGCCTTAAGGTTTAGACTAGACTCAAGCTACACTCCCAGCCATCGGGTTGCCTGCAGATTGAAGGGAATAGAGTGACCTCCCACTTCTATGTGTGCTCGCTGAATCTAGTCTTTTAGTTCTTGATCATGCTTGCGGGTAAGGGAGAGCGCTTCTGTGTTTCCTATACTAAACTGAACTATGTTATTATGTCCCCACTCGATGGCTACTTAGGCGGCGTCTTGCAGCTTATCGCAGATTTCGCGGATAGAGTGCGATAAGGATGGTAATTTGGCGTGGAATATTTGGAGGGACTGCGATAGAAAGATGTTCAATTGTTTTTCAAGTCCAAGTGGGCCCAAACAAGGCTCGTCAACACGATAAACTGTCAATATTAAATTACTATTACTAGAAAACAAGGATTCTATCTATATAATAAAAAAACAACAGTATTAGCTAACTGGTCCGTAGAGATCGATAAAATGACCTCTGATTCTACGCAGAGGCAGGGGCGAATGTCGTCTTTCCCATTGCCAACCTGTGAATCTGGTTCGAATAAAAGGCCTGAATTTACAATTAGCATTCACAATTTCAATGATAGTTGTAGCTGTGGATTGACGCCAAAAAAAAAAAAAGAAAAGAAAACTTACAGTCTCAGCACCAGCACCTAGAACTTGACTGCGAAGTAGCCTGGGAAGGAAGCCAGGTCGGACCCGGCTCAGCGTGATCTGCGCATCCTCTTCTGATATGCTTTGATCTAAGAGAACTTTTGGGAAGTTGGGATAGATGGCCGCTGGACGCGCCATACCGACTATATCACAGGCGTTCTCTTTAATCGCTGCTTCTGCACCAGAGCGACTACGGAAGCCGCCGGTCAACATAAGGACGAGATTTGGATACCGCTTGCGAGTCTCTTTGGCAAACTCAAGGAAGAAGGCCTCGCGAGCTGCGGTTCGTGCACTCTTCTGGACTGTCTGTGGGTTATCGCCCTCGACCATCTATGCAATATAGATAAATCGTATCAGTTATCATTAAGCATATAGTTATGAATGAATCTGGTCTCTCTTACTCGTGGGTTCTCATAAGTGCCACCACTGACTTCGAGGAAGTCAATGCCTGCTGTGACAAGCAGACCTATCTGAGACATTGTATCTTCAAGGTTTGCAGCTCCGTGGTCAGCCGAGTTCAGTTTCACACCGATACAAAATTTATCTGGAACAACTTCTCGGCATCCTTTCAGGATATCCAAAAGAAGCTTTGCTCGTTTCTCTGGAGAGCCTCCGTAGTCATCGGTGCGAAGATTAGACTGTTTTAGGAAATCAGTTATACGTCGCTGTGAAGCCCATTTCGTCCAACATACCTTGGCGTTCAGAAATTGATCTATCCAGCAAGACATGGTGAGCCAACGCGTATTAAGTAAGCTATGTGTCCTGCTTACCTAGGAGATAACCATGAGCTGCATGTAGCTCAATTCCAGAAAACCCACTGTCCGACACCATACGGGCTGTATCCACAAATAGACGAATGACTCTGTCGATATCTTTCAGTGTCATTTCTCGGGGCTTTGGGAATGCAAGAGAAGTAACGACAGAATCCAAGAGGCTAGTACCAAGTGTCAACGGAATCGCGCTTGGTGCCATCGTAGAAGCAAAAAGACCTCTGCGCCCCGCGCCGCGCAGTGATTGTTTTCCAGGGTGGGAAATTTGGACAATGGTGGGAGAACCATGCTCCTGACTGGCTGCGGCATATTTCCTCCACGACTCAAGATGTTTGTCGTCTGAGACCGCATTTTCGCCCTGGAAGGCAGGGTCCGAGAATTGTCCGAGGTGATCAATATCGACTTGCACATTTCCTGCCAATTGCCCAAATAAGCTTTGTTTCTTTTTTCTTTTTTTTCATGTTTTCCTTTTCGACGGATTGGAGGACTAGATATGCATGACGAGTGGTCGGCTTACCTGTGACAATCATGCCCCACCCACCCTTACTCCATTTAGTGTAGGCCTCGTTGAAGTCCTCATTGGGATTGTTGTTTGACTGCGCCAGGTTCTCGGCCATTGCTGCCTGCTTAATTGTAAACAGGTGCTTGTAAAGTTTCTTATTTTCCCCATAATTCATACCTTGGACAGCCGGTTGGGAAAGACCAACCCACAAGGCAGCTTGACTGAATCACTTAATACGGACGCCATGATGATCGAAGCTTGGCTGAAGGGACCAAGATTTTGAAGGGCTCTATATATCAAAGATACACCGTGAAATAGGATATGTTCTTATAGGACTTTGAAGGGGTCGGAAGAATTTCAATGTAACTAATTAGGATGCTTAAGTAATTAGACTTGCGGTGGACCCTATCTCGACGGCATGGAGACTGATTACTGATCTACTCCGATGCTTTAGAAGCGGACATGTATTCCAGAACTTGCTGAGATCTGCGGCATCTGAGGATGTGATTGTCCAGGCTTTCATATGGGTGGGTCTATTACAAATGGAAAATTTTCAACTCAATTTTTAGATGCGCAAACCCCCGATGCCGTGATTACTATTTTTCTCCGAGCCAACCTCAGGAATTTTGCAGGCTTCGCTTATCATATCTGTCAGGCTCCAAGTGAGACAAGGATGTCAAAAGATAAACAAAACATTGAAAACAAACTGAGATAAAAAATTCAAATATTGTTCAGGTCGCTAAGATGTTGCTCCGACCGAAGTACATGGGGTGTCAATGTTAGGCCATGTTACGGCGAGCCTGTTACGCTCGGGAGCTCACATAATCGTGCATAAGCAAGCCCCCTACACAATGTATATAATCTACGCTGGCCTCATACTGAGGAGGGGCAGCGATTAGTTCTGAAGAGCAGCATCCCATAGCCTCAAGTGTCACGGACTGTGACCAGCCTCCGAAGACGTTCCTTCGCGATACCCTATGACCTAACTACCCGATCGGGACTAGCTTAGTTTCTTCGTTGAATGCATATCCTACATTCTCGCGATTTCTTATCGCCAGCGTTGCCGTTCGTCACATCAAGTCTTGTAATACAGACCTCGTTCCGAATGCCTACGTGTTTCCTTTCCCGTTATCCAACCCCATTTAGTCGTGGCTAATACGCCACGTAACAGTCAAACAGTCTGGCAACACTTTATTCGTCCACCCGACTAATTTTTCCATGAAATTTTTTTCTTTGGTATTCACTCCACTGTATCTATATCAAATTGGGTGAAAATTGATGGCCAGCCTCTTGGCTCACCTGTGATTCTGAAAGGTGCTATGCTGTCGGTTTCACAGATTACAATTAATTTGTGAAAGTCTCATCCGAGTTTCACGCCAATGAATGCACGGTTTATTTGTAGATGTATACGAATCCGCTCTTCGCTCTAAATTTACAGTTAACGTAATTAACCACCGAGCGACGAATTTTTACCGCATCCACTACAACCTCTTTCCAACGCGTCAATTACCACCACTACCATTGAAAATGCCATTATCTCAAGAAAATCGAATACAAATGGCTATGATTTGTGTGGCATAGTGAGTGATTGGAAATGGTATGGCTGCGCGCACGGCGCGTTTTTTGATACGATGCACCACTCGCCCGTGTGCGCCACTTAGGCCTCGTAATGGTCCGATTCAGGTTCCAAAACATAAAATATGCGTATCACGAGAATTACTATGTTTGCACTGTTTGCGGAACCTGAGGCTCGAGTCGAACCTGTCAGGTTCGTCAGGTTCGACTCCAAGAATCCTAGAGTCGTATCGCGACCTCAAAACCTTGGAACCTGAATCTGATTCTTGGCGGTTCCGAGTCGAATTGAACCTGGAAAATCGCGACTCCCTACGAGGCCCAGCGCCACTCGACCATGAATTACTTTAGTAAACTAACTGTCGGGATATAGCCTTCTGTCTGAACAAGCCAGCGGTAACTTACTGCTGGCGACGGACGGATATCATCCCTTGCTTGGTGAACGCATTCTTGCACCAGGCTGCGGCTCCGGTGTTGTGACCGCCGAGGGCCGGCGTGTTGGATCCAGGAGTAACTTTCAACTAGACTGAACACTTACATTTATCTACATGAATCAAAATTGACCCTTGCTTACGAGCATACATACTGTTCACTTAACTGTGTACACAGGACCTAGCTGGTGATACCAACACTAACGTGATTCCCGGTCGACCGGTCACCCCATCAAATTTTCCCTTAGCAACCATTGTTTACATTTTTTTTTAAACCACCACCATGCCTCCAAAAAGACTCCAGAAAACACAAAAATTGATTGAGCAAGAGGGTCGTCTTCTACTTGCTGTAGAAGCTATTAAAAATGGCAGGATTCCCTCTGTTGCTGCTGCTGCCCGCTCTTTTGAAGTGCCACGTACTACCCTCTCAGCTCGAATAAAGGGTCGCCAAAACAAGCATAATATGTGGTCAAATGGCCATGAATTTACCCAACTTGAAGAGAGTTCAATAGAAGATTTATTAATCTCTATGTATTCGAGAGGCGCAGCTTTCAATTTGCTTATGTTACAAGATATGGCCAATTTACTACTCCGATCGCGCGAAAAGACAACCTCTACTACCACCCTTTCTGTTAGAAAAAATTGTCCTACAGAATTCGTCAAACGCTGTCCAAATATTATGACACGTCTATCTCGCAAATATGGCTACAAGAGGGCTCTTTCTGAAGATCCCAAAATTATCCTGCCATGGTTTAAACTGGTTGAAGAAACCATTCAAAAATATGGTATCGACTCGGATGATATCTTTAACTCTAGTGAAGACTGACTAAGCACTGAAACACATCAACCATCTATCTTATAAATCTATATACTGACCAGAGCCCTCCAGCAAATTTCAAAATCAGGCTGTAGCCTCAACCGCCCTTTTAAACTCATCGCTGAACTCCCAATCATTATAGCCTTTCGGGTCTTTAGGAAGATACAGCACATCCCTGTCGTGCGGAACAAGAGCCACATTCTCCTTAATACGAAACGGTAAATCAGGGTTCGAAGTAAACGGCCGACCAAACGCAACAATAACATCGTGATCCTTATACTTGTGATCAACCGCCTCCCGCGCCAGCTCAGGCTTATACCCACCAGCTACCACGACCGGCCCAGCGCCCCTATACGCATCCAGGAAAAAGTGCAACTCATCTGTGGTCTCGACAACGTCACTACCAGAGATGCGGCCCTCAACCAAGTGCACAAAGGCCAGCTTCAAAGGAGCCAATTCGCGCGCTAGATAGGCAAATTGCGGCTTGGGATCATCCGTCCTCATGCCCTGGAAGGTATTATAAGGACTAAAGCGGATAGCCGTACGGTCGGCGCCTATGGCATCCACCACAGCACGGGCTACTTCAAGCGCGAACCGGGCACGATTCTCGATGCTACCGCCCCATTGATCATCTCGCTTATTGGTGACGTCCTGGATGAACTGATCAATGAGGTAGCCATTGGCTCCGTGGATCTCAACGCCGTCGAAGCCCGCGGCGATGGCATTACGCGCGGCCTGCACGTAGTGCTGGATGTATGACTTGATCTCCTCGTCGGTTAGCGGCCGCGGGACTGGTGCATTTGCCGAGGCTGGAATGTCACTAGCAGAGACGAGATCAAATCCAGAGGCCTTGAGCATGTCTGCACTTGCTACGCGGCCCAGTGCCCACAGCTGCATGTAGATGTAGGAGCCTTTATCGTGCACGGCGTTCGTGACATCCTTCCAGGCGGCGATCTGGGCGTCGTTCCAGATGCCGGGAACATTGGGATACCCTCCTGCTTGAGGGCTGATGAGGGTTGCTTCGGTAACCAGGAGGGTGCCTGGCATGGAAGCGCGCTGAGCGTAATGCTCCTTGACGAGGGGAAGAGGGACATGGTTATCGTCGATGCGGAAGCGGGTCATGGGGGCCATGGCGATGCGGTTGGAAAGCTCCATGCGTCCAACGCGCAAAGGAGTGAAAAGCTTAGTCATGCTGGATGAAGTGGTTTTTGGAGGTATGGTGGTTTAAATGGTGCTAACAAGTATGCAATAGAAAGCTAAACTAAAGCAATGTATTTAAAGTACGATCATCAGAATGAAAGGCCACTAGCAGTTTTATAGTCTTCGAAGTACACGGGATAAGCTCCAAAAAAGTGATTTATAATATGGCAATTTGTCAGAAGGTGACAAGCTCCGGAATTATCGGTGTAGTAATCATGCCCGAAAGCCGACGCCGGGTCAATAAACTGACAAATGAAACCAATGTTGGTTGGGGCTCGTTATACCATCGCTCACAGCTGTTATTCACAGTAGCATGGACTGAAATCGCCCAGGGAGAAGACAAGGCAGCTGATGTATCGGAACTGTCACTTTGAGCCCATGTCGAACAAAAGTTACATAAAGTCGGGTCGACCCATGTCTAAACTGAATTCTCATAAACTCACTGACATTAGTATCTGATCCTGCTTCTAGGAAAGTTTCTTATGCAGGCGTCGAATCACACTACGTACGTTGAAAATTGTGAGCGTATGGAGTAGGAAGCCCAATATTTGATACTTCATTTCATATGTGCATAGTATTAAGGCCTAAATGCTTGGAGTAGAGAGGTTGAGAAGCAGTAAAGTATGTATTAATGGTCCCAGAGACCCTGCAAGTAACAGAATAATTTTACTCTTCTCGGCCCACGAACAACAGAGAGTTTGGAACTAAAAAGTCATCTTGGAAGGATGTGTGGGCCAGGGCTCGTTGAATACAGACATTCGGCGTAGAAACCCGTCGCATCATGCAATAGATGTATTAGAATTGTCCACCATTCAATAATACATAGGCATTCATATAAATCGAGCAAAGCTAACATGGCTCAAGAATTAATTAGTCCTCGCTACCCATGTACTCCCTCAGGCTGGTCGTCCTAGCCTTGGGTGATAGGTCCTGTAGTGTACAGCATACTTCGGGAGCCCAACTAGTATATCCAAATTCCATGATATACATCAAATAGTCCTGAAATTCTCTCCATAAGATCGGCGGCAGTGATTTTAAAAACTCGTCCAAGACGACCTCTTTTAATTTAACCTTGGCAGTCTGAACCTCAGTCCACAGCGTCCAGAATTCACGCCATGTGGCCATCTAGGAGTATGCAAGAAAACGCTTTCCTGCGCTATTTTACAGCAAGGCTTTCATGTAAATATCAACGTCTCGATCTATGACTATCCATGGGAGCTTGATTTCCGCCCTATCAGGGATTTGCACAACAAATGACCCGTCTTCCTGCTTTTGAGGCCGCCCAAGACCCCCATTCCAATTGCTTGTGTTATGAAATGCACAGGGGAAGGAGGGCAGAATGACACTGTATCGGCTACACACACGTAGCCTACTAAGGAGCGAATGCTTTTGGTTTGATAGGGCTCTTAATTCTCTTGCTTAACGATTAATCTCTTCTTCTATGATAGATAAAGGGGTAAGTTCCTCAGGGGTTCGAGTGTGCGAGCCAAGCCGCTAGATCACGTAATCTCATAGATTCGTATCAGCTTGCGTACATTCCGACTTGGTAGTAAGGTCTGGCAATTCTTCGTGCGTTTCACCACTAACGCCTTTGAGCAATATTGCCATTTGACATTTGTAATGGAGTGTTTCTTATCTGCTTCTAACTAACATAACGTAGTTCCGGGGTGATCCGCCCACCACGCGTGCTCCGCCCCCCACAACAAAATCCCTCCACGTCAACCAACCCCCCTACTTTTATCAACCACCATGCCACCCCGAAAAAGCGGAACGCGTCGTAAAAGAATGGAGCAAGAGGGGAGGATTCAGCTTGCGTTAAAAGCTTTTAAAAATGGCGAATTTCCTTCGATACGTGCAGTTATTCAAGCTTTTAATATACCGCGTGGTACGTTCCGAGACCGATTTGATACGAATCTATAAGATTACGTGATCTAGCGGCTTGGCTCGCACACTCGAACCCCTGAGGAACTTACCCCATTATCCATTAGAGATATAGAGAAGAAGAGATTGAATCGTTATGCAAGAGAATTAAGAGCCCTATCATTCAAAAGGCATTCGCTCCTTAGTAGGCTACGTGTGTATAGCCGATACAGTGTCATTCTGCCCTCCTTCCCCTGTGCATTTCATAACACGATTAAAAGGCAGCGAATTTCAACAAGAACAACTCAACCACAACCTCTGGCTATCCCAAACTCAGGAGAATTATTTGGTGCAATGGATAGTATTCAGAGATGAGCGTGGCTGTCCCCGAAGGCATACTCATGTGCGAGAAATGGCCGATCTGATCCTCCAGACTGACTCTGATACCCCCAACTCTCCTATCGGGGTTAATTGGGGACGAGCTTTATCAACAGGCGTCCTGAGATCAAATCTAGGTTCTCTAGGCGCTATAATTACTCTCGTGCCCTGTGCGAGGGTCCTAGGGTCATTCGGGAGTTCTTTAATGAGCTGCAGAAGATCTGTAGCAATAACGGTATCCTAGATGAGGGTATCTACAACTTTGATGGGACAGGATTCGCTATGGGAATGATTGCAACTGCAAAGGTAGTTACAAGGCGTGAAATGCCTGGCAGGCCATGGCTTATTCAACCTGGAAATCGCGAATGGGTGACTACAATTGAATGTATTAACACCCGGGGATTCTCGGTGCCAATTGAGGGATGGTATGATGACTACAGCAGCCTTCCAGAAGATTGGCGGATTGGATTATCATCAAACGGCTGGACAACAGACGACTTAGGCCTTAGGTGGCTTCAGAAAACGTTTATTTTTCAGTTGGTCGATATCGACTACTCGACTTAGACGGTCATGGAAGCCATTTAATTCAGCTCCTAACACACCCTATACGACTAGGCAGCTCGAAAAGCAGGCATCTACTATGAAGCAGCTGTTTAAAGGGCGTATACGTGAGCGTACACAAAGCCCTTCATCTTCATTAGAAGCGCGGTTAGGCAATATTATTAAAGGTCATGAATTGGCCTTAAATGAAGCAGTTCTTGCACGTGAAGAAATTCGCGAATTACGCGCGTCCCATGAAAAAAGGCTTCAAAAGAGAAAACGCTCTACTAGGCAACTAGCTACTGCAGAGGGCTTTTCTATACAGGAAGACCAGTAGCGATTCTAGTGTGGAAATAAGGTCCAAGAAGCTCAAGATAATACACCGATAGATCCTACACTTTCCACAGTTGAGCCACGCGTACGAGCGCCCCCGCGCTGTAGTGATTGCCATATTCTAGGACATAGACTATTACAATTTCTTAATCGAGCTCTGAATTAACTTTTATATAGAAATGGAAAGGTTTTGTTGATAAAAGCTCTAAGATATCGCTTGTATGTAGAATCGGAGCGGAGGTGATCCACTCGGTGGTGGATTACGTTATTGCAATGAAGTGTAGGATCAACCACAGTATTCGATATTGGGACCCTTCTCTTGCTGCAAAATAGAGTAGAGGAATACAGAATCGGAGCTAACTAATACGTCCAGCAGACTCATCACTTTCCATTGACACGAGTAATACTACGCAGTACGATACAATTACGGTGAATCTCCTATTCAAAATTAGAAAAATTGAGAGGATAAAATAAGAGGACCGTGGACTAATTAATTACAGTCATCTTTCAAATTCAACCATGATCCAGCTGGAAATTCTAACGAATTTTAGACAAGACACCTGTCACTCAGTATTGATGTCTCGATCGATCCATAGCACAAATGCAACTTGCTTTTAATGAGAAAGCCATAAGTTATGATAACGGAGCTAAGTCGCTAAAATATCAGGAAGCTTTTCTAGTTCACCCAAGCCGAATTCCGATTCAACAGTCCGTGAAGGCACCATCCTAGCTTCTCGATATATTTTAATGCTATTGGAATATAAGATTGACGTTATTGCTAGCAATGAAATGCTTTGCTTGTCCGAACAAAGCTATAGGTTGGTTTTTCTGCCAATCCGTGTGTATTCGTATAGGCAGCATACCTCAGTTCGAAGGGGACGGCTTCAGCTTTTCCGACTCGCAGACCTTGTCTTCATCGGTTGTATCGACGACTGGGGAGGTAGTCTGATTGTCCTCTATCTTTGTGGTTGGAAGCAGTCTTGCTATCTCTGAGAAAATCGAGTACATAAGACTCTGGTGCGGTACTTCGCGATCGATGTCTTGGAGCGGGGACGTTTAGAAGGTGGGACGGCGGGAGAATTTGCTGGAATATTTCAGAACATAATTAGTTGTCGCTCTACGTAATTACGCATGTATATTAGCTGCTAGAAATACGATATCCTACTATCGAGTGAAATGAGAAGAACAAAAAGAAAAAAGACCATACCGCGCTAGCCGTGCTCTTGGCATACATGCCTGATTTTCTTTGACGCAATATGCGCATCCGTGCCTCTTTGTATAGACGTAGCTTCTTTTTCGAGTAAAACATACTTTGCAGGTTGGTTTTTGGATCTATATTTGTCCCCTGGGTTCAATTTTAATCTCTGCGGCTAGCCTGCTGGTCTTGGGAGGTTTTGGCGCGGTCATCCACATCGTCCCTGGTTTCTCATCTCTTGGAGTGAAATAGAAGTGGCACTTTTCTAAGCAATATTTGTAGTGGATTTTACGGCTTGTTCAAGTAGAAGAGCACACTCAGATCTAGGATGATTTGTTCGATCGACTGGCAGCTTTAGAAGACGCCACGACGGCCCATCTACGATGCGCATGTCCAAAGCTGTCTCAGCCATGCCGGTGGATAAAATAGGGAGACAACCGAGCTATCCGGTCTCTCTGTCTCTGTAATGCCATCATGAGATCAGTGAACTTGTTTAGTAATAGTCGAACTAGCTTCACATACATCAATATCACCGAGCACGTTATATCGGCGATTAGTAAACAGCCTCGACTTGAGCTGAATATGACTCAACATTGGATACTCCACAGTAGTATCTTGGTACAGTCTCTGGAAACGGAGAAGACGTCCACTTATAGGTTTAGGATTGATTACTCGTCCTACTGTGAAGTGGCAAAGTAATATAGCTCACTCTCTACTAGTCACAGTTGCATGACACCATTCAACGCCTAGCCCTCTGCGGTCGTGAAATTTGCCACGTTCAGTTCGAGAAATCAGATTGTTGGCCAAGTCATCTACTCGCGGTGGAAAGATTGCCCATAAATTATAAATCAGAATAAACTCTGCAAACATGAAATGTTGCATGTATGGCTTGCGGTGAAGTATGTGCGATATGGAAATACTGAGTGTGAATGACTGAACTTCAGTGATTAAATTATTAGTATTCTAGCAAAGGCGCCGAAAGCGAGACAACCAGGGCAGAATAGCCATATATTAAACATGCAATTTGTCAATCGTAAACATCAAGGTTCACATTAAGTACTATCGTCATTGAAACTCCACGACCAGCTTTGTGCCACGACCTTCTCCTTTTCGAAGTGTTTCTAAGCCTTCAAAAATCTCCTTGAATCCGCCTTTGATCGTCGTGATCGGTGGAGGCCTTGCAGCGGTAAGGCTCAAGGTTGACAAGCTACTATAAAACTGTCTTAGAATGTCACGATCAGATGCCAGAGCCTTGAACACTGGGCCTAGCGGCGCCATCAACTGGAAGTCTCGGCCGAAGACAGTATAGACCATAAGGAATTTGTAAGTGACGTTTGGCTTCTTCGGCTTTCCTTGGTCAAGCAGGGTAACAACCTTGCCCCCTTCAAGCAAATCGGCACAAAAGGTGGTCGAAGCACCTTCCGAAAAGCAATCAAGGGCCCTCGTGATGTTTGGATAGGCTTTCTTAATTTCGGCAACTGCCGTAGGAGACCTATAGTCATATACGGCATCGGCACCATAACGCTTGGCGAGATCAAAGGAACGAGGCGAGGCCGTAGCAATGACCTTGTAACCCGCTCTCTTCGCTAGTTGGATTGCGAAAAGTCCAACATTAGAGCCTCCTGAATAGATGAAAATTGAGGGGCGCTCATCTCCAAGGTCACGACCATCTTGGACATCTGCCAAAGAGACATCAAGATAAGAAAGGCCAAGCATGGCGGTAGCAGCTGGGACTCCATACGTAGCAGCCTCGCCGAGGGCCATCTCTTCGGGTACCTTCCAGGCGAGGTCCCCATCAATTTTGAGATACTCGGCGAATGAGCCGACGTCAGGATACAAACCGCCGTGAACGAAGCCAGCGATTTTATCTCCAACTTTCCAGCGCTGTCCGGAAATTTTCCCGACTTTAGCCACTTCACCGGCATAGTCGCAGCCGATTCCAGAATTCAGTGGGGACATGAAGTCGATATCTTTGAAGTCTATCGGGTTCAATGCAACGGCAATTACTTTGACCAAAACTTCGTTTTCCTTGATTTCCGGAATCGAGACATCTTTGACTTGCGCGCCCTGGCCAAGCGCACTACCAAGAGCCAGGCTCAGTAAACGCCTGGGCAGGAACCGATTTGTCACGACCGCTTTCATGGGGAGTCAAGTGTAGGTGTATAGTAAGGGGCTGAAACAAGCTGGACATCAATGGAGCTCAGGCTGTACAGAGTAAAGTGGAATAAGACGTACTGGCGGGTTCAGAAGATATGAGAACGCGAGTGTAGGGAATAGGGAATCAGGTAGCATTTAAGTGTATGCGTCACCAGTGGCAAAGGCGGAAATTATCCCTAAGTATGGACCTTAGACCGACGGCACCAAAAAGAATTAATCAGCATACCAAACCCTGGGGATGTCTGATCAACTTAGAGTTTAAGGAATAGAGTGGGGTTCAGCGCGGCAATGATGACTATACTGTCCGACTGGGTCGATTACTCATCATCCCGATTCCGACAATGACGTTGAGAACTGGCCTGTTCTTTCATGATTACACTTCGTTTTCGTCTATTCCGAGCAACCACGATCTACGACTAACGACCGTCGGTGGACGTCGGTGGAAAACAGCATGGAAGCATAGTAGGTTTGTTATGAATTGCACAGGGGAAGGAGGGCAGAATGACACTGTATCGGCTACACGCACGTAGCCTACTAAGGAGCGAATGCCTTTTGAATGATAGGGCTCTTAATTCTCTTGCATAACGATTAGTCTCTTCTCCTATAATAGATAAAGGGGTAAGTTCCTCAAGGGTTCGAGTGTGCGAGCCAAGCCGCTAGATCACGTAATCTCATAGATTCGTATCAAGGTTCCGCCCGAATGTTGGAAATAATAAGGAACTTGACCTATCAATGCACAACCAATCCCTGCCGCACTTCTATACTCATTCTAAAGGCTCTTCTTGACTGACTACTGCTCTTCCAATCTTGTTCCAATCTTGTTACAACCTCCCTTTGAGAGGTATCCTGTAAAAAGGCTGCATAATGACGACCCTTCAACCGCTGTGACCAACTTTGTCTCTGTTGATGGACTGAAACTTGCCTATCGACGTTTCGGGAACGTAGTTCCTTGCCGCTAGTGTATGTCAATCACCTTCGCGGTAGCATGGATACGCTTGATCCGCTTTTGTTCAACAGCATTGCCAAAAGTCGTGAAATCATTGTTTACGATAGCATCGGACTCGGACACAGTGAAGGATCTGTGCCGGATTCCATTCCCGAAATGGCTTCGGTACATGTGAAGATCCTCGCCGCGCTTGTGGTGTCCAAGGCTGATTTTATTGGTTTTTCCATGGGTGGCGCTATCGTGCAAACCATCGAGTTTCACTACCCTCAGATTGTCAACAAATTGATTCTGGCTGGTACTCAATCTGGAATCGGCGAAGGAGTGGCCCTGCCTCCGCGGGAGGTACTAGAAAGTGCAGGAGCAAACAATGATCAACCACCAACAGAGGATGATATGATGAACCTGTTCTTCTATCCCTCCGAGACAAGTCTCGCCCTGGGCCACGGGTAGTACCAGAGAATTCATGAGCGCAAGGTCGAAGGCGAAGAGAGAAAAGGATACCTTGTCGGAGCTGGCGCTCAGTCGCAGCTTGCCGCCATCTTCAAATTCGCAGCCGACACTCATAACTTCGATCGACTGGCAGATATCAAAGCCCCAGTCCTGGTCACCAATGGCCATACCGATATTATGTCGCCTACTGCGAACAGCTTTGTGTTGCAGCAGCGCATCGCTAATGCTCAGCTGCATCTCTATCCTGACGCCGGGCATGGTCATCTCTTCCAGGTGCCTGAGCTTTACGCAAAGCAGCTTGAGCTCTTTTTGAGAAACTGAGTAATTATACCACATAAGTGGTTGCACGGTGAGTCGGGAACGTGTAACAGCAATCGGGGAATGAAGGGATTCGTCGATTATGGCAGCATTTGGCTTCTCAGCGAGTCTGGGAGGAAGTCCGCGAACAAGCAGAGTAGTTGATTTTGTCTTTCATTTTTTATCCATTGAGTATCAAGAATTCATAGAACATTAGAGCAAGTAAAGATCCCATATCATCTATCGGCTATCACGCTTCAACATTTGACTATTGGCAGAATCTGTCACCGTAAAATTGCTGATTCAAGCCCAACATATGCAGCTTGAGATTTCGTCTATGACAAAATATGACATGTTGTAAAGACAGAAAGTAGACCCATTGTCAGCTCAGTATGACATCAAAGCTTGAGACCCTCTTACTATCCTGTATATTCTGGCTGGACAACCCGGCTTAAATGTCGACTTTCTTGCTAACTTAAGAAACTACAATCATCAGCGCCCGAGATGATGGACTCCAATTATGGCGCGGCACCCAAGATCCGTATCCATCATTTCATGGCAACGTGCTGATCCCATGTGGATTATTGGCTTCCAGACGTGAAGGTAGTTGAAGTTTCGAGGGCTCGTCGAGCCGCCTACATGCTCAGCACCAATTGTCAATAAACGAGATGTCAGAAGCACAAACTGAAGTGATTGATCTTTTTCGAACCCTATCTCATGGATTGCTGTCGTTAATGTGTGGTCGACAGCGCACGGCATAAGAAACGAATTTTGATATGAATAATAGACGTCATTATAACTTGGGGTATTTTATATTCAATTTAACTCTGGGACAAAGTCATGGGCCATTCTTCAGTGTATCCACGAGAGTTCATACAAAAATAAGCACTCAAAAGGGATAGCCACAGTCGACTAGAAATAAGATGGCGAGAATAAAAGTTCGATTCGCTGGATCAAAGAAATAAAATCCGGAGAACAAATCGACGAAACAAATAAAAAAAAGAAAGCAGACAGAAACAACTGTAGAAAGACCGAGACAGGGTTGCTTTCACAAAGCATATGAAAGCGAGGGCTATTACTTTGCCTTTCGGCGATCTTGTACCGCCTCCTCTGAAGCGTAGATCAAGTTCTTTACGTCAGGCAATTTAGCGACACGAGGCATAAGAATGTCCTATGTATGAGTTAGCGACCGACAAGAAAGAAATATTAGTGTTGACGGGCAAGGAGGTCATACCCAGACAGTTGACCAGCCAAATGTAGATGCTAACCAGGTCACAAGAGCGCCCCCTCCAGACCAGAGATGCTTTTTGGGATTAGATCGGATCGCGTTGTTTACAACGACCTCAGCATACGCATTAACCTCCATGGCGTTTCCCTCAACCTCGCTTCCGGCCAATGCTGGCTCAATCAAATCTTTGGCAGGATAATAAAGGGAATTTTCAGGCAAAACTGGTTTGCTTGACAGATTGTCGAAAAAGCGCGTCTTTATTGCGCCAGTGTTGACAAGGATTGCACGGACTCCCCAAGGAGAGAGCTCAATGCGTAGTTGATCGGTGATCATAGCGACTGCAGCTTTACTAGCATTGTACAAGCCTTGCCATGGGAACGGCATTTTGCCAAGCACAGACCCAATGTTAATGATAGTCCCTTTCGAAGCGATCAAAAGAGGCGCAAAGGCTTGGGTCACGGCCACGACAGCGAAGACGTTCACATCGAACATTTTCTTCGCTACTGACATATCTGAGTCCAACAGAGGCATGCTGTAACCTATTAGGTTGTTAGCTTACAACCTATCTCAGGGAATTGATATACCGTTTCGAACTCAACTTGCCTGCACCGGAGTTGTTAACTAAGAAATCCAAATGACCACCAGTTGCGGCCTTGACAGTCAACACAGCTTGTCTGATTGAGACTTCGTCCGTGACATCGAGTTGTAAGATGTCGAGACCCATGTATTTGAGATGTTCAACCTTAGCAAGATTGCGGGCACTGGCGAAGACGCGAAAGCCCCTTTTGTGAAAGCTTTTGGCCAGGGCATCACCTATTCCGCCTTCGCTGCAACCTGTAATAAGAATGGTTTTCTGGACCATAGTCGCGGTCAATGAATGAGACTAGGGTTGATCTCTTAAAAAGTCCTGAAATTATGCTGCCAGGAGAATAGCTGCCTTCTTGAGGGACCCCTGAAGGGACTTTGTATCAACTGGTGTATTATTCTTCCGTATATTAGTAATCTTGAAATCGACGTGGTGACGATAACAGTTAACTATCGATTCTAGCGCCTGCTTACAAACGTTAAGTTAAAAGTTAACTACGACTCGGGTCGGGCTGATTACGCAACATGTCCGTTTGCCTCTGGCATTTATTCCACGTTCACGCATTTCCACTTTTCTTCGCCCGTTGGAATGGGCCATTAAATTATTGAATCAGAGGGTCTAAGTCTTGAATTCACGGTGGAACAAACTCTGTTTGAGCCTTTTAGGCATATATTGGAAACGGCTATGAAGCATGTAACATATTCCGACGGACTGAATGATGATACCTTAGAAACCTAATCCAGTGACAGTCGACCTTGATTTAAACAAGATACATCGAGACCCATTTCTGGTTTTGCATGGAATTTCTCATTGGATGGGCTATCTTAAGTTAAGATGTACAGTCGAATGCTTCTTGTGGCACCATACTTTGCTAAATAGTGATATAATGCACAGAGAAGTTCATTGGATGGTGGTAGACTTCGGCAGGACCCATGGGTACGTACCCATATTGGTGTAAACAAGACAGAGATTTGGACCCAAAACCCATCCCATCGATGGGTTTTATATGGCTACCCATGGGTCTTGCCGAAGTCTACTACCATCTAATGAACTTCTCTGTGCATTATATCACTATTTAGCAAAGTATGGTGCCACAAGAAAGTCCGTCAGAATATGTTACACGGTCAAAAGTGCACAGTACTCGCCGCCCTCGGTGGAAAGAGCCTTGTCGCAAAATTCAGCACTAGAAGGAAGGGAGATACAGTCTAAGACTAGTTTAAGGTCGTTGTTGGTTTAATCGCGGATTTCAGCGGCGGAGCTAGAATCCTTATAATCGAAGACGGCGTTCGCGCCTAGACTGCGAACAAGGTCGAGGTTGTGAGGTGAACAGGTTGTGAGCACGGTATAGCCGGAGAGCTTAACGAATTGGATCGCTAGGGTACCGGTCGCGGAGGAACCACCATAGATAAGAATAGGAGTAGAAGTGGCATCTTTGAAAGGCTGAGTGGAAAGATCAAGGCCCAATATCTGGTAAAAAGACTGGCCAATAGTCTGGATATCTGCTCCTAGGGCGGCAGCTTCCTGGAAGCTCATATTGTCTAGGATCTTCATCTGAAGATCCCCTTTCACGACAATATACTCGGCAAAAGCACCATCTCTCCCCGTGGCAGTCAAGGATACATCCTGGATCCTTGGTCAATGTAATCCCGATGACAGATTATCAATATAGTCCCGTTCAAATCCATTATGTATGTCTGTTGGGCATCCTAGGGGATCTATTACGAATCATCCCGGTTGTTCCATGATCAATACCTTCAGGGATCCTAGGAAAATTGAGTTATCCCGAGAGCCGATTCCAAATCCCCACAGCTAGTCTATAATTGAATGACGAAGTCTCCACCCATTTGCTTTCCTAGGTCAAGTCGGTCTAGCGATGCATCCACAACAAGTACTAGTCGTCCCCCTACCTATGGACTTCAAGGATACTATATCTTCTGCACATAGCCTTTCAAGATCAGTACCAACTCGCCTGTCTCACCGGCACTGATCTCGACAATATAAAACAAATCATCATGCTGAAATATGACAGGCAGTGACTAGCCTACAGTCTCAAACTTCATTTGCCCTTTGCTAGCCCGGACCCCTCGGTGGATAACTTACCATCAATCCTCTTTAACTTCTCACACAGCTTTACCTAAAGGTTTTCTTCAGGCTAACGGCCTGAAAATGATGCTATCTGGACTTAGCATCGAGTCTAAATATGGAAACTGACCAGAACACTGGGTCGGATCGTTCCTTGCACAACATGTTCAAGATCGTATTTTTGATAAGGGTATAGACACACCGTTGTAATTTACCGTTATTGATTCTTCGTTTCAGAAAGCCCAATGGTGAGGTGAATTGGTAAATTAGGTTATCTTATCGGAAATAATAAAACTATCAAAGCCAGTCTTCTGCGTTCTTCAAATAAACAATGCATTACTGGCAGGCATATGGCCATGGCGTGTGAAATTAATATCCAAGGAGGTTGGTTGTGTTCATGGAATTTCATGGTATAGTTGAAAACTGCAGGGCTTTCTCTACGTCCCCGCGTTGAAAACCAGGCGTGCGACCCAGGCAAACTCCCCTGCTGATTAATGCTATAAAAGTCAGAATACTCTATCGGCTAATATAGCGGGGGGCGAAAATACTTAGTATAAGACGAGCGACATCAATGATGGTCTGCGTCGATGAGCCTTTCGTTGGGTTATCAGTAGGCAAAAGCAGAAGCAACTCTTTATCCCGAAGAAATTCTTCCAGATCATGCAAGTCGAACCAGTCCCCTTCTAGATCCTCTTGTAGATCAGACGCAACCAGGGCTAAAGGGTCCTCAACTATGTCCCATCTTCGATGAGAATAGGAAGGGAGGCCCTCGCTTTGGGCTTGCAGCGAAGACGGCCCTAGATAATGAGTTCCTGCACCGCCCAAGCTGAACAGGGGCACTCTTTCCCATCCTTCTAATGACTTTCGGTTTAATATAGCGTCTAGTTCTGCTTTCGCGTAAGACGCCACGGTTTCGCGATCCAGCATACTTAGAATTAACCCAAATGGCCTTTGGAGTTGTTCCAGCCCAATGGCCTGGTTAGATAAAGCCAGATATGACTGGTAGAGGGCTTCCATGTTCAGTCTTTCAATGAATTCGGACAGTCCTATGAAAGAATTTGCCGATGAACTGACTGTAGGTGGAATACCAGAACCAGTGAAATGAGGCCTGTCGTGATCCACAAACGCAGGGAGAGAGGTACTGGGTAGCGAACGCGTCGTCGTTGCAAGGTGTGAAGACAGGGACGAGTCTTCCTGTTCTTCGGTTTGTGAAGGTTCATCAGGAATCCGTACCCTGCTGTCAGGGCTTGCTTCGGATGCTAATGAAAGAAAGGTCTTCATAGTATCACGTAGACTCACTGTCAGGCCAGAATAAGACTCTAGCACCCCAGAGTCAACTAATTGCTCACTGAATGATAGAACAGTAGAGCTCATGCTTTCCAAAATAGTTTCCAGGTGGGAAATGCGATTTCCTAGGTCTTTGATGGTCGCTTGCTGGCGAGTGCGATACGCACGTTGTGCTAGGCGAAGCTGCGTGCGACGGCGCTGTCGTTCGGTCAATGCATATCCATGGTTGGTATGGGTCGGCCTATATACTACAAACCTCATCAGGACCGTCATTTGGTGATTTCATGACAGTTTCGCGCGGTTTTCCAGGTTCTTGGATTGACGAAGCACCCGTCTTAGTTTGCAGTCCCTGGAATTTCACAGACCGCCGAGGTGTCGATTTGAAGCGAGAAGACTTCGCTGTTTTTTGGTGGTGAGAATGGTCCGCGGGGACTGCGTCGCTAGGCAAGCATGATTCTTGATTTTGAGGGGTTTCTGAGATATATGATTCGGGCGGAGGATAGGAGCGGGTCGAAAGCCGAGAGGTGATATCGGAGGCTGCCCTGTCCTGTATGGGTGGGTAGTTTCGGGCGGATGTCGGAGCATTTTGGTTGACATCTTCCCAGCGGAAGAGAGGCAGGTCGCCAAAAGACTGGAGTGGCCATGACTGGTCCATGATGCGGGCGGTGGGCAGAATAGAGTGATACGAAGGAAGAATAGTCCGCGACCCAGGAACAAATGGAGCCTGTACTGGGACTAAAATCAGCTGATAGACCGATTGAAGAACTCAAGAGTCAAAGAGTCAAGAGTCATAATTCAAGATTAGGGGGGCGTTCTACCAGTCTTCAGAGTCGTTAAAGTTCAGTCGGAATGATCACTCATCATTCCGATTATGTAAGATTCTGATCCGTGGGAGGATCAACCTGGAAGAGAGCGAAGAACATTGCAGAGACTGATTCTTGCACAAGATCCTTTAAGAGATAAATTCTCAATATCAAGAGTAGTAACTAAGTCGACGCGAACGTATAGTACAAGCATTGCAAGCCAGTTGGCGACTCCGTGAGACGGGTGTATCACTGGCTACATTACTCGATGGCCTATTGAACTAAATGTACATTGGATAAAAAGTTTGAAGTATATGGAAGTATTTTTCTTGCCGTGGCGACGTAACGAATTTCGTTCCGCGTTGGTCACTGTGAAGCTTCAAAATACATACTGGTGGCAGAATATACAATCAAGGATCGTAAACACATAATCAATAGATTCCTACCAACCAGATGACTGCAGATGTGTTCACGAAGGCTCTCCCAATTCAAAAATACCGAGAATTTGTGAAGAAGCTCAGATTTGGTCAACATCAAGGATCTTATTCATGACTAAATTGGGTATATGCAGCGTTTAACTTCAACATTGACTACTAAAAGGGTATGTCAACCGTATATGACCGCTAGTCACATAGGAGACCTTCCTATTCCGGATATCGGTATTGGTAACTACCGATCCCCGAGGATTATACAGATTTTTCTGATATTTCTACGGTTCAAAAGTTATGTCTCTTCTAGCTGCCTTTTTAGGCTAGATTGATTATCATTCTTCATGTATTTAAACCACCGTTTGCAGCTAGATTGAAAGAATCAGACCATTATTCGATATTCCTAAAGGTACATTACTAAGCAATTACGCCTAGAGAGACGGCCCACATCATATTTCTACCAATGCAGACACACCGCTGGATGCGGAAATGAAGTAGACTAACATTTCCAGCCCCGCTCTTAAATTTTCTCTGGATTGTTTCATCGGCTCCTACGTCATAAGAAATGATTCAAAGTACAGTTCAGACTTATGAATGGTAAACTCGGCCACATAGAATCAAAGTTATGCCGGGAGTTACTCAGCTATTCGTCTCCACTTCCCCAACGGCCATTCGGGGTCTCCAAATTATCCCCAAATATCTCCAAAATCGACAAGATTTTTGACCAACGCCTCTTACACAGTCAATGTCGGGACTCAAGGGCAGAAATAATCACTGGAATAGCTTTATGTTATCTTGCTCCATTGAGAAGCCATCCTGCTCATTGCTCGTACTAGTGAGGTTGCAGTAGAAAGAACTCGTGCCTCAGGCAACATTCCACGATACCGAATCGCCAATTTCAAACGACAATCTCCACCGCCACCTCGAGGAATCTTCCATGACCTAAGTCGATAGCTGATATCTCGAACCCATTTTGTTCCCGTCGCCGGATAATCGCTCCATTGTGTCGAGCTTGGACTGTTCAATGTCGTCCCCTAATAGTCCCGTAGCAGCACCGGTGGACACGAAAGAGTACTCCTGTTCTTTTTGCCACCGGGAATTTCGGCGATTAGAGCATTTGCAACGGCACACGAGAAGACGTCTGTTCAATTCTGGAGTCATACTAAAGAACGAAAGCTAACAGTATAGCTAAGATACTCATGAAAAGCCCTTCACCTGTTCCTGTGGAGATGCCTTTTCGCGGCGGGATCTGCTCAGGCGTCATGAACGCATGGCGCATGGTCTTTTCAATAACGTATCCTATCGATCACTCAATGGGGCTGCATCGACCGGTTTACGATCACATCTTGCAGATAATGGGCGTTCACCCTACGGCGAACCTAGTCGCCGTATGGAGCAGAATGTCAGGTCCACCAGGCATCTCCCACCGACACACTCCGGGGAGTGGCCCCAAATCAGAGCCCAACAAGGTTTCGTGTATGTATAGATTCCCACCATACTATGAATGAATAATTTCACAATCATAGAGAGTTTTGCCAACATGCTATAGACCTGAAATAACACCCCGCTCTGGTCGTTTTGCGGAACTCGATAAATTACTTGGACCAGATGGTAAGCGCTTGCCCAACAGCAGCTGAGGAATGAGTTAACACTTCTGTCAAGGTGGCGGCCCATTCAGAGAGAGTGCCGACGATGACCATGTCGTTCCTCTTGGTGATGCTTATCATACTGGTAATCGGGAGACTATACAAGCTCCGCGCCAGCAACCTACAATACTTCCTACCCCACCGGTAGCTTTAGGTTGATTACCCTTGTTTCGTCACTCGCAAGGTGTGAGTTAATACGTAAACCTAGGGGCCCAGATTGTTCCTTATGTTTCTCATCCAATTGTGACCGACTGCCAAAGAGAACGACTGCTTTGGTCACTGGACGGGAAATTACCCCAGGGTGTCATATTCCCTTCAAGTGACGCTCTAACCCGATTTCTCGCTGGGTACTTCACTGGGTTTTATCCTCATATGCCCTTTACACACGCCCCAACATTTAAGCTTGAGTCATGCTCACCTCAACTCTCTCTAGCTATCCTAGCTCTCGGTGCTGCCAATCGCTACGAGCTTTCCTCGGCAATAAAGATATTTTATCTATCGAAGGCTTTACTGACGGACCACCAACGCCTACGAGATTATGCCGCGATGCAGAAATTGGCGAGCTCGGGAGGAAGAAACTTTCATCCGAAGACTGACTACCTGGATGAGTTACGTTGTCTACTTTGCCTGAGCTGGTTTTCCACGTGGCAGAAAGATAATCATCTAAGGGGCGAATCCTTAATGCTTCGTGGAGTATTAGCACAAACTCTGAGGTTGAGTGGTCTGGAGGAAGTTGCTCAGTACCAAGTGTCTTGGGACACGTGGGCCCAACTTGAATCAGCCAGACGAACGAAATTACTTGCATTCTGTTTCTTGAACCTTCAAAGTATTGCGTTCGACTTGCCACCGATTATATGGAGTCACGAGTTCAAACTACTGCTGCCATGTACCTGCCCCGAGTGGACCGCGCCCGATTCGACTACCTGGAATCTTCTCAGGGACAATCTGCCTTGTAGACAGGGCAATTTCCAGGATGCATTGTTAGGACTACTCAATGCAGATCAGGAAACTACCGAACAGTGTATCCCAACCCCGGTTGCTAACTATGTGCTTTTACATGGCTTGATCCAAGGCATTACATGGAGTCACACATTCCCCAAAACCTTGGGCCGCAAACCATTCCCTGACGATGCAACTCTGTTCAAGTGAGACTTCAACTTTCTTAACAGCTACAAATGGACAATCATATTAACACCATGTTAGAAACGCCCTACGTCGATGGACGATCTTCTGGCAGCGGACCCCAGAGTCCAACCTAGAGCCACTAGATCCAAATGGGCCCTTGCCATTTACCTCCAGCGCTTTATTGAGTCTTGCGTATATTCGTGACTGCTCCTGCGCTACCAATATAGGCTCACGTAACATTCAATCCTGGAACCCTTCTGGTATTGCCGAAATTATTTGCACACTTCCCCCCGGTAATGCCGATTGGAACGAATCACTCGCGGCGCAGCACGCCAGTCATATATTGGGTATACTAACAAACCTTGGGATTCAATATGTGAAAAATAACCAGGCACTGGTTTGGAATATCGAAGCCGCGTTATGTGGGTTCGAGTGTGCTGTCTTCCTGGAGAAATGGTTGAGGGGGCTTCAGCATACCATTGGAGACAGGCCGTTGTCTGGTATGTAACATCTTCTGATTCTGCTTCCCAGTCACTTGGGGACCGTTTTCACTACTTGCTACGGTCCTGATCTTGATGGCTTCATGTTCACCCACCCATTCCGAACGCCAGGATGCTAACGTTGATAAAATTCCTACAGAACCCGAGCAGATTCTTTTACAGTGGATCCGGGACATCATAAACGAGAGTCTTATGTCAATAGACAATAACCACGACACAAGCAACCCATCTCAGATCAATGGTCTAGCCGATCGAGTTGTCGAAGTCTGGTCAGATATCATGAGGGGTAATTCGCCCTGGGAATTTATCAGTATGCTTGGTGATGCCCTGGTCGAGTATGGGAAACTCTCTCACATAGTTTAACCTCGCAATGATGAAATAGATTAGTTACCCAATCGGGGTCTACCTCGCGGATAACTAGAACTACTTTAATGCCAACTGTGTACACTGTACCTTAAGCGAGTAAGGTACAGGCCCGCTCTATAATGAGCTTACAAATAATCTTTTAGGCGAACAGTACTTCTGTCACGTTGTTAATCAAATACAAGCTCTACAGAAGACTGTGGCCAGCATAGCTTCCAAGAGCCGAAAGTGGGGCATTTTCTCCAAACCTTATTCCCCAAACTCAAATACCCACTTTTCGTAGTCCTTGACCCCGGCTGGGCTTCACGATATCTCTGACAAAGATTATTGGCCATTTGGTAATTTCTTGCACCTCGATTGTGCCATTTTTGTGGGACTATAGTTTGGAGATGAATCGGCCCGATTCCATCGGGGACTTTGGAGCACAACCTAAATGAAGGGATAGTTCTATTTATCAATCATGACATGAGAGCTGCCAGAAAACTATAAATACATTGTCAAGAGCGAAGAGATCGAGATTCGATCCAAGAATAAAGACTTCTCAACTACACTTCTCAAATATCTTTGGAACTTGAGCCTTTCCACTCACAATGTCTCAAACCGTCATCCGTCTCAACGGTTCTAGAACCTCCATTCGCAACCTCCATGCTCTCAAGGAGGCGATCCCGCAGCCCACCAAGCACGAGGTTCTCATAAAAGTTCACGCTGCCTCCTTGAACTTCCGTGACATCGCAATCGCTACATCTCAGTACCCTTTCCCAGCAAAAGATGATGTTATTCCCGGCTCCGATGCGGCCGGCGTGGTCACCAAGGTCGGCGAGGGTGTTAAGAATGTGGCCGTGGGCGACCACGTCATCGGCACTTTCGATTTGACCAACCTCTTCGGTCAACAGATGAACTGGTTGAATGGTCAGGGTGGACCTATTGATGGCGTGCTGCGTGAATACGTGTGTATTCCGGCGGCGTCTGTCGTGCAGGTTCCGAAGGACTCGCCGCAGAGCTTCTATGAATGGTCCTCCCTGGTTTGTACTGGTGTGACGGCTTGGAATGCCCTGTATGCAAATGTTCCGCTTAAGCCTGGTCAAACTGTCTTAGCTTTAGGTAGGTTTCTCGTTGACTTTCTTGTGGCATTCGAGAGTATGTTTACTGATTGCGAGTAGGAACTGGAGGTGTCTCTATCACCGGTTTGATTCTTGCCAAGGCGGCCGGTGCAACAACAATCATCACATCCTCGAGTGACGAGAAGCTCAAGTTTGTGCAGGAGAAATACGGCGTCGATCATGTCATCAACTACAAGAAGCACCCTGAATGGTCCAAGGAGGCTCTTCGTCTGACCAATGGCGCCGGTGTCGATTATATCCTTGAGAACGGTGGATCAGGCACCATCGCGGAGAGTTTGAACGCCGTGAAAATGGGCGGAAATGTTTCTATCATTGGTTTCCTCTCTGCTGCGGATCAATCGAAGATGCCGGATGTTGCTGGTATGGCGCTTGCTAAGGGAGCCGTGGTTCGTGGTATTGTCGTTGGTTCTACTCAGCTTCTCCAGGAGGTTACAAACTTTGTGGCGACCAAGGGGCTGAGGTTGCCTATTGACAGGGTGTTTGAGTTTAACGAGAAGTCTGTCATTGAGGCTTATGGGTACCTAGCGTCTGGATCTCAGATTGGCAAGGTTTGCATCAAGGTGGCGTAATAGGGTTCTTCCTTTTTTGTTTTCGTTTGAATATAAGCATCACAGGTGCTGCAAATGATAAGTCACCCTAGATTAGTTTAGGCTGAATGAACAAGTTGGAATGATCATGTCAGCAAGAGAGATTTCTATGTAATACACCCAATGTTAACAATCTAAGCCGCTCACGCATACACTCTGCAAACATCGAACTGCTCTAGCTTCTGACAAGAAAATGTCACATCGAAGCCAAGAACTTTTGTCCGTAACACCGAAAGACCTCTAGCATTGAACTAGCCGTTCTTCGTCAAAGTATCCCACTGGAACCAACCGATAATTAATAAGTAAAGCTTGGGATGTAAAATTGCACATGTAGTGATCGTGATATTCTGTTTTGTCATCCTCATATTCACTTTCACGGTTGAATTTACGTGGGGTAGACAGCTGCAGATCGCGTTCTTTTCTAGGCACCAATTGTGCTATGTAATTGGCGATGTAGCCTTCAGCTGGCGCGTAGTTGATAGCGGCCATTGGCCATGAACGCCCAGTATCTGTGCGCCTGCCGGCTGCGTTGTTCAAGCAATCTTGAGCGTTGCCATTGAATCGTCAGGGGGTAACTTGAAACCAATATCACATCAATAGGTCATCCTTGCCGAAAAATGATTTATTCTACCCAAAATCCAACGTTCCGACAGATCTCCGAATTGGCTTCTTTGGCGTCCTAAAAAGCTCAGTTCCTTTTTATCGCGACTGGCTTCAGGAGTCCGACAATTCAGATAATATGCACCGCTCTCCATATTTCAACGACGAATATACCGTCGGATAGATTTCCAGTTCCAGCGAAGAGCTGGTTGTCGCTATGGCCGTTCTAGACGAGGAACACGGGATCCCTCAGACCATCCCCGAAGAAGACACAAATTCGTATCATTTAGGCAGCATCGGTGATCACAAAATTGCGATGACTTGTCTACTATCCGGCCAAATAGGCATGGCTCCTTCTGTCATCGCAGCTGAAACTATGCGACGGACTTTCAAAAGCTTGAAAGTAACTCTTTCTGTCAGCACGGGTGGTGGTGTCCCAGGTACGAAAAAAGACATTCGCTTAGGTGACGTCGTGGTTAGCTAGCTATCCGAACGGAATTTATCCTGGGGTGGTACAGTTTGAGTATGGAAAATTGAAAGGTGACGGGCTCATAGAAAGGAAAGAGTGGTTTTGTGCGCCACCTCGAAATTTCTTAGGTGCTATCAACATACTTAGGGCGTACCACTCCAGACCCAAGAATCCCGTCAACATGTCGGCCATTATTGAGAGACTGGGAGCAGCGTATGAGTATCCTCCAGAAAGCGATGCCCTCGATCTACTGTATAGATCGGAATATGAGCATTCTTCTCATGATGATATTTGTGACGAATGTGATAAAGAAGCACTATGCTCAGGAAATCCCGACGATATTCATCTAAGCCAAATGTGCACTATGGAAACATCGCATCTGGGAGCATGACAATCATGAGTGCAACTGAAAAAGACAAGATCAACCGGCGCTATGATGATCTTTTTCTTAGATACACAAGCGGCCGGGGTATCTTACAATCTCCCATGTATTGCTATCCGAGGCATAAGCGATTACTCGGACTCGCACACGAATCACCGATGGCGGAAGCGTACGATAGCCGCGGCATCGGCATATGCCAAGGAACTTTTATCCTTGATGGAACCTTACAAAGTGGATGTTTCGCTTCCTGTTGAGCCTTGGTTGCTTCTGAATCGCGGTAAGTGATTGTGAAAATAGCACGTTCATCATGTCGCCACGCTTCTGATGTTTCATAGGAATTTCGCAAATTACGACACGACCCAATGCAAAATGACTCAAGGGCCAACATTCAGTCAAGAGTTTTGAAGGTATCATTTCTCCCATGATGCGTTTCATATACCTTCGGCTAAGGCTTGTCCAGCTTCATCAGCAGAACAACTTAGAGACTTGTTCTTGTAGTTCGAGATATGATTAAAGCTCATGAGAGATATTTAACCTTTTTCGTCATCAAACGTGCCAGCTCTCAAAGGTTTAGATTTATAATAATGCAAGCAGCTCATATATTTCATAATGAGCCTCGCAATCGCGTTGGCTGTGGTCGTTGTGTGGATTTGAAATTAAATGTCAGCGGAAGTCCATGAAGTTGCGGGCCAATTCCGCGGGCGGCTTTTCGATATCCTTTGCATAAAGCGGGCCGATTCATAAAACGGGGTGTATAATGTAAATTAGAGTTTGTCCGGGTATTTTGAGTTTCTCGGGAGCAACCAGTGCCGGACGAACTAAACCACATGCGGCAACTACTGTCCCGGCTGGGTGGCTGCGAAAGCCAAGTGAGTCTAAATAAGAGATGTGATGTGCTATTCGATCATACCTAGCTCACTAAGCTCATTTTTAAGTGTTTCTATAGATTCGGAATTGCTTCCGCTACGGACAAATTCTGTCTGACGCCACTGTGCTCCCTGGATTAGTCCATCAGAGAGGATTCCTATAAAGGATGCGATGAACGACCGATAATACTAACCTCAACTCTATCCGCCTCTCGATCTTGAGTTCTCCGATATTAATCGAGCATTTCCACTCCTCACAACCTTCAACTATCACTGCCATCATGTCTCCAAAGGTCGCACTTGCAGGAGTAGGTGCATCTCACCCCCAATTCACTGAGCTCAACGACTAATATCAGCATAGGCCAGCGGAAACCTGGGCCCTGCCGTCCTTGAACAGCTTCTGGATGCGGGCTTTGATGTAACCGTTCTCACCCGGGAGAACAAAAACAGCAAATTTGACAGTCGCGCCAAAGTCACACAAGTGGACTACAACTCTTTGGAGTCATTGACTTCCGCCCTGACTGGCCAGGATGTGGTCGTGAATACTCTTGGCGCAGGAACCATCCCTCGTGAAGTCCACCTCAGACTCGTCGATGCTGCCGTCGCCGCCAAAGTCCAGCGATTTATTCCTTCCGAATTCGGATCTGATACGACAAACCCCAAGGCCGCCAAGCTCCCTGTTTACGGCGACAAAGTTGCCGTGCAGCAACACCTCAAGGCAGCGTCTGAGAAATCGGGTGACACTTTCACGTACACCTTATTAATCAACGGGCCTTTCATGGACTGGGGCCTGAAGACCGGCTTCTTGCTGAATCTGGCTGGCCCAGAGGCGGAGTTGTATGACGGCGGAGACCGGAAGATCAGCGCCACGACGCTTGCAGGCGTGGGCAAGGGAATTGCTGGAGTCGTTCGGAACCTAGACGCTACCAAGAACCGCACGGTTTATGTTCGCGAAGCCGAAATAACCCAGAATCAGTTGCTGGAGCTCTCGCAGAAACAATTGGCTACGAAAGTCATCACTACCGACCAGCTGGAGAAGAATGCTTTCGCGGAACTACAGAAACCGAGCCCGAATTTGGACGTTTTTGCCCTTAATCTGATCAAACGCACCATTTTTGGTGATGGATACGGCTCTCAATTCCCTGCAGAAAATCTGTCCAATGATCTTCTAGGGTTGGGTTCACTGAATGAAGCGGAGGTTAAGGATATTGTTCTGCAGCATAGTCAGTAGCCCTGCAGTGTGGAGAATATATTTAGCACATGTCAGCGTTTAAATCCCAAATGATCGGCATTTTTGAAAGTCTTCGGACTCATCATTGTAACAAGGACATGGTATAGTTATTTAAAGCTCGAAATTTAGTAACTCAAAATCTGCACTTGTGCCCCTATATTTGCTTGTCTTCTACGTGCACAGTATTCAGTATTCTTATGTGATGCATAAATCCGCAAGTTTTATGCATGATCAGAGCTTAATGTAGCGGAATTAAGTGGCAGTGCCAAGGCACCTTACCAGGTATAGACTAGCCTGATATAACCCACTGACGCCATTATGATTAATCAGATTATCGCCGAGTTGAGACCGACCAGTCTCATGTCACTTCTGGGTTTCAAGACACGTTGACATAATTGCAATAATACCATTTGACGGTGAATAATATTTTATTAGAGTCCCGCCATCTGAAAAGTGAATCTGTCACCGGAATGTCCAGAGCTTCCTCTCCATATCCACTATGGCACATGTAGAAGCTGTATGAGAAAACCCGTATCCAATTCTTTTTTGTTGAAGACCAATTTGATTTCGATATTTACTGACATGCAAATGGAACGAGACAGCCGGAAATTACTGGCAAGCGTCAGCATCCCGATTCTTTTTCAAACTCTCGATGGCCTAGAGAACAATCGTCTGAAGTATCTAGTGCAAAATCTGTGGAGTACAGCAACCTCTCCCACCCACCTTGAATGGCGGCCCACAATTCGAGGGGCAACCAATTTCTGACAACGAGACAATAGTTCAGATATTCAAAGATCCATCGACAGGGTCAACAGACTCAATTCTCTGGTATCTAATGATAGGGCGGATGGAGAGGAAGAATGTGCGTGACTCACTACCAAATCTCATGATAATGTGGTTAACATAATCCAGTGAATGAGCAGAATCTTGCACGTAGGTGATTATCCTGCTAAAGAAGCGTTCACAGAAGGTCTAATTTGAGAAAGACGGGAATTTTGACTTCCCACTCCTTCTTGCCCCAGGATTCGCTAAGCCAAGGGTTCAACCAACGATCCTGCAGAAGGTTTCGCAAATGATGCAAGAGATGGATCCTAGTCGCACTTTCTTTGAGTCTGGTGTTCAGGAAATAATGCCGACGACACGAGCATCAATACGTCTATCACCCTACGAAGAAGTACGGAACATTCTTGAAGGGTACCTGCTACATTTCAATTCAATATTTCCCTTGTTCCAAGAAAACACGCTGAGAAGACTTGTCTCGCGGCTCTATACACAACAGGAAGCCCTTGATTCAGGTTCAAAAGCCTGTGGATATGCGATCATTGCAGTGGGATATAAATTACAGTTGTGGGACACGACAAACACGAATAAGGTGGCTGCTGCTGCCTGGATGTATTTCAACGCAGCAATGCGGCTTATACCGGACATCTCAGTGATTGGAGACAGAGCAGAAAGCAACCTTAGAAATATTCAAGCTTTGAGTATTATGGCAAGTTTACCAGCTCTCGTCAAATATCGTGTTGCTTGCTTACATGGGCTTTAGTCAATATTTTTACAAGGGTCAATGCAATTCAACGATGCACCAAAGGTTCTTGCCAATGCAATTCGGCAGGCAAATGATTTTGACCTGAATCGAAATCCCCCAAGCAGTGGAGTCTGCCCGATAGAGGCTCAACAAACTCGCCAAGTCTTATACGTTCTAGACAAAGAGTGCGTGCATCACATCCATACAGAGTTGACTCGAAGAACTCACTAAAACCAGGTTTTCTTTGCACTCGGGCCTACCGCCGATGATTCGAATGAGCCACCAAGCAGCTGACCCTATACAGCACGGAAATGAAGACGCTGGTGATGTTCTAAGATATTTTTATTCCCTTGCAACAATGGAAGAGGAAATATACGAAGAGCTATATTCAGCAACAGCTCAAGAAAGACCTGGAATGGATCTTCTCGACGCCTCCTTCAAACTGGAACGAAAGCTTCGAACGTGGAGAAACGAATTATCATTTGATACAAGCTACACCGATGGCTTATCTTCACAATCTAACCAAGCCATTCTCTTATCACTGATGTTCAACAACTGTCTCATTACAATACATCGACTACCAGCTATCCATTGTCCAAAAACAGGGCTTTATTCGTGCCATGCGGGTTCTAATTCTGAGATTGCCGGTTGGATTGACTTGGCAAAGAAAATTCGCACAGAGGCCGCTTTATCGTGCATTGAGTCAGTGCAAAAATTAAAAGTTGATGGTCCCTGGCCTTTTTGGTAAGCAACAAAACGCGTAGGAATAGGTCTCTGAACTAACCTCGGTGGTCAATCATTAGGTTACTACCCTCACCTATCATTGTCAGCCTTATCCTTCTGCTTACAACTATTATATACGACCCCGAGACTTCTCTGGCGAGCCAAATTGTGGATAGCATCAATTCAGGAGTGGAGTTGATGCGAATGCTGAACGATAAATCATGTGGGGAGTTCATGCAAATGCTCAGAATAGCAGCGGGTACTGCAAATATAGCACGCAAGCTTCAGCAAAGAAGCCAAGACGATATTGCAGCTCGGAAGATAGCGCAAGTCGCACTTGAGAACGCTGTAATGGAGCTTCGCCGCGGTATGCGGCCAAGAAATCGAAATCAACTATCACAGCAGCCAAGATCATCTAAAAAGCCACCTGATAGGATGCCTGAGCGTGAAGAATTACATTACGACACTGCAAGCGCACAGCCATTTAGGGATGATACTACTGGCATTCAAATGAGCACAGTCCAACTGGACCCATGGCAGTCGCTATCTTCGATTGGAGAATTGGATCCTTCGCCCAGCGCTTGCGATTGGAGCACAGGTAATAGTGCTACCTCTGGACTGTCAGAGCCAATTATCTGGGAGGATTTTATCTCGAGTACCTCAACTCTGACATAAAATATCAAACAAACGTCTTGTTAAATCCATTTACGTTGAAGAGGTTGCAATCATTGAAAAGGGCACTTTTACTTCCTGTAGTAGTGGGAAATGTGATTCTAAATATGACGCCGAAACTTGCCCATTCCATTTCCGTTGCTTATTGCCAGAGTCAGTTATGGGCATAATGCAACGATGTACCTCGCTTGGAAAGCCCATAGTTCATTCTATTAAGCAAATCTTGCCAAAATTGGAACGGCAATAGAATGGCGAGTACAGCTTGCGTGAATGATAAGGGTCTGATTGATAAAAGTAGTGTGGTAGGTCTTTAGCCGGCCCGGCCGAGGCGGGGATCTGCACGGCCCACTTCCGCCCCGCCGGTCTCGGCAACTCGCCTATTATGTGATCACAATTCCCCCTTCTCCAACCGGAAGCGCGTTGTTTTTCTACAACCCAGTTGCGGAGTTCAGAATGAATCCTAGGTTCGTTGGTAGAACAGTACACCAAGTCTCCTATCAGGAACTCAAACAGGACATGGTTTCTTCTTTCAACCCTCGGGCACGGACTTTCAACATATGCGACTGTAGAAACGCTGCACGCGAGAAAGGCATGACACGACACAAGATAAAGGGCTCACGCACCATACCTACTACTTATGCTCTGTCAGAACAAAACATGAGAAATTTGTTGACGGACTCATTCGCGCTCCCAAATTGAAAAATTAGGGGCCAAGAGCCACAGCCTCGTGGCCTCGTGACTTGCAGGGATTGAATCACGGGGGTTTTTGTAATTTCATGTGGCCGCGGTAGATGACTAAAACCGCTTATATCATCGCCTTGCTTGACCAGATCGATCATGCAACCGCATTGAT